ACTGACATTTACTAAAAACATTATTCCAAATTCAAAAATCACATCAAACTGTTCGAGTAATTTAACTTCCATTAGTCAATTTTCATTTTCATCATCATCAGTAGTTGAAGAAACTAAAAAGAAAACTACTGGTGGTCAAAAGAGAAAGGTTGAAGGTATAGAACAAAGACAACATGAAAGGTGTGATATCATCATTCCATTATCAATTAATCAACGAAATAATTCATTAATTGATTTTTTGATAATAGAATACTTTGAAATCGACATGCAGCACAAATATCAAGAGATAAAAAAAGAAAACAAATGACTGATTTAGAGGCACAGAACACAGTTCTTAAAGAAGAAAATATACATTTATCAAAAAGATTAAAGACTGTAGAAGAAGAAAAATCAGTTTTATTAGCTAAATTAGATACAATTTTAGAGCAATTTGCAGAAATTTGATTGCAACTTTCTGTTTCCAAGATGAATAAAGTCTTAATTGATGATGTTCACAGATCAGCAGTATCCACGACCTTGGAAACTTCAGATTCTTTTAATAATGATGATCATAATAAAGAAGAATCATTAGTAAAAAAAAAGCAATAATAATAATGATTATTTTAATCAATATCATCAAGAAATTGATGTTTCCAAGAAGTCCCTGCAGAGGCACGTCAAGTTCAGGAACCTTTACAGGTTCATCATTGCAAATCCATTTGTCATACAACCACCAGCAACATCAACAGAACAATCAGATCCTATCATTTCAACAAATACTGAAACAAGTCTTGTTGACCTTTTTGATAGCTTTTTGGACTATGATTGGGGGTCAGGTGAAAATTCTTCATCAGTTCATCAATAATAACAATTTTCAAATGGTATTTGCTAAATGATGTTATCATCTTGGAATTTATTTGTTGTTGTTTATTAAATGAAAAACAGCAATATTTAAAATCGCCCGTAAAGACTTTACATGGTTGTACCTGAAGCATGTTCCACATGATTGGAGAAAATATCCACCATAACAAACATTTATTTTTGTATATGATTAATATTTTTATTCTTTTTTTATTCTATTTACTATTACTATTACTATTATTGACAAATTAAGATTTTATTGTTATATATACCAAAGATTTCTCTACAGGAATTTCTCCTTTGTTTTTTTTATTAATGGTGTTAATTTCCAGATCAAAATTAAAAGTTTCTCCACAGAAATTTTCTTTGTTGATTTATATGAATTATTGTTAACAGTATTAATTCCCAGATCAAAACTACATATAAATGTATGATATTAGGTTACTCTGCAGGGATTTTTTCTTATTTACATCAAATGACCATTTAATTTCTGTTGGATTGTTAATGTCATTATGATTAAAAAAAACTTCGTCCATGCTGCTAATTTCACCTTCTCAAGGAGACTTATCATTTCAGTAATAGTAGTGTAAATATTATTGCTATTATCTACTGGTTGAGTTGAAGCAGATTTATCTGAAAATGTTAAATCCATTATAAATCTTTGAATGAGATGTTGAACAAAATATTGATGATGTTTTTTGTGTAAATCTTTGCTAATAAAGCAAAATAGTGCCTAAATTTTTCATAAATTTCTTGTTTAGAACAAGGAAAATTATAATATTGACAGAAACATGCACCAAATTTATTTTAATTATAATAATGATGATTATAATTATAAAGGTGATGGTGACGACAATAAGGATTCAATGAAAATGAAAGTGATAGGGTTGGTGGTATCAACATAACCAGATTTAAAAAAACATACTGAAAAAATCAATGTCAACATGAGCCAGATGGTAAAACAGTTTGTATTCATAATGTTTGTTGTATTGATAAAAACTATTGAAGATTAGGAATTGCTACAATTTTATTGAGAGAGTATACCGAAAGAACATTATTATTATTAATAAAAGATGATGGTAATGATATGAAAAATTACATGAAAATATTTGTTTAATGGCTCATAAGTTGATTAGCAAGAGTGAAGTTGTTTGTGGTTTGCATATATTTTCTATTTCTTAACCTTTATAAATTTAATCATTTTTACCAATTTAAATTAATATTATATATACATGATTAAAGTAAGATTTTTTTAAATAACAAAGTATCTAGCAAATTTTTTAGATTTTTTTTTTAGATTCTTCATATTTTCCTTCTTTTCATAACATCACAACTTATCTATATTTCTTTATAATCTTTGAATTTCGCCCAAAAAATATATTCAAATCTCAAAACATCAGGAACCAAAGCTGAATCTCTTAAATAAAAAGATCTTGCCAAATCTGTATTAATTAAATATTTATAGAATCCTAAAGGTCTAATTAATGATTCTATAATTATGTACCATACTAATGCAAATATTGATCCAAATAAATTACCAAATAATACTTGTTTTGTTGTATGATAATTTAAATAAATTCTAATACAAATAAGTAATGTCAATTTTGATTAATATGTTGAGATATATATAAATAAATAGATAGGTATGTGTGAGAGATCCTTGCTTACCTTGAATAAGAAACTAATATTGAAAAAATTATTAAAAAACATGCAATTGGAAATTTCCATTTGTTATTCCCAAATGTTATTTTATAATTATAATAATCACATTATTGTTATTATTTTATAAATAAATATATTATCACTTTTAATCATTTATTTCAGCTAATAAAAAAAGACCTGTTATATAAATATAAAATTGCAAAAATTGCAAAAAGGCAATAAATTGTGCATGAGACAATGGCATACCATATCCAGTACCAAGTCTATCTATTATCCAAATAACAATAATGTAAATATACAAAATCACTCACTCACTCAACCAACCAACCAACCAACCAACCATTACTAACTAACCTGTTGGTCTCTTTTCTCTCAGCCATCTTTTCAAAATGGCATTAAATAGTTCACAAATTGATTGTCCTATGAAAATGTTAATACCAGCAACTTCTCTTCTGGAAACTATTACGGTTACATATGCCACCATGATTGCTAAAGGTGATAAAGTTATATACGCAAATATGTATGCAATTGGGTCAGTTGAATCGAATTCTACATGTGTTAATGATAATGAAGTCAATGAAATATTATTTGACATTTTGCTTTTATTTGTTTCTTGGATAACAATTCAAATTTGGGAAATTATTTTTGTTACATATTAATTTTCTCCAACCAAATTTGGTACATTTCCGAAATTTAAAATGTCGATCGCACATGACTGGAAAATTAAAAAAAGAAAATGTGTTTACATAATTTTAAGAAAAACGCATAAGCAAAAAATTGACTTTGTGTGCAGGAAGTTTTAGGTGTCATCTAATTTCTTTGATTGACTTTGAACCAAGGATGGCCTATAACTTCACAAATGAAGAGCTCGAATGGCATTGATTTATGAGGAATGTTGTATTGCATTTGTGTTTTTGATGATGATTCTAAAAAGGGTAAGTTTAATTGGTGCTTGACAAATCAATTTATTGTATAAAAAAGAAAATGCCAAACAGTAATGGTAATTACCTGTTTATTGTTTATGAATTATCATTCTTTCACTTAATACAGACATTTTCTAGTAGGCTTATCCTATTTCCTCTGGCCATGGTGGAATAGGATAGATAACCTTATATGTGACAAATTCCAACAGAAAATCATCAGTTAATGGTAGAATACATTTAATACAACAACAAATATAATTTATTCAGATATATGACCATTTGTTATTACAATTTGTCATTACAAAATAGATATATTACATTGACCTGTTGATAATTATTTATACCCTTTTAGCAGAACAGCCAAGCATTGTAGTTGTCCAAGTTTAGTGATATTTTTACCAACTTATTACCTTTCCCATGATCTATGTTAAGGATACTGACTGCAACTTTGATGATGGTTGCTACCATCTTTACAACCATTTTGTTTCCTTTTTTGGATTGTGACATGGAACACTAGTGGCATTTCAACTTTTGAATATT